GGCCATACCACAGCCAAAATCAAACGAGCAGCCAAATCGTGTGGAAATCTATGAAAAAACCGTGGAAGTTCTTGCACCGGAAGTGAATAAGTTGCTAAACTTTATGTATTTCCAACGCAAAGCTATCGAAGCATTTTCGGGAGAAATAAAACGTCTATGTCATGCTGAGAAACGCAAGGACTTCGTATCGGAGGCATATCTCCTTACTCTCGGAAAATTTATTAATATGTTTGCCGTGCTGGACGAATTGAAGAATATGAAGTCAAGCGTGAAGAACGACTATTCGACATATAGACGCGCAGCACAGTTCCTTAAAGTGATGTCCGATTCGCATACGCTTCAAGAATCACAAAATCTTTCAATGTTCTTGGCCACTCAAAACAAAATACGTGACACTGTCAAGGATACGTTGGAAAAAATCGTTGGCTACGAGGATTTGCTTTCTGACGTTGTCAACATTTGCGTGCATATGTTTGAAACGAAAATGTATTTGACGCCCGAAGAAAAGCACATGCTGGTGAAAGTCATGGGTTTTGGCTTATTTCTCATGGATAGTGATGCGTGCAATATCAACAAGTTAGATCAGAAAAAAAAAATACGTCTGGATCGCATTGATCGCATTTTCAAGAATCTAGAGGTGGTGCCTCTCTTTGGCGATATGCAAATAGCTCCATTTAACTATATAAAACGCAGCAAACATTTTGATTCTAGCAAGTGGCCTTTGTCTAGCTCCAACGCCATCAGCCCGCAAGCAGATTTGATGGTGCATTTGCCCCAGATACGCGAGGACCATGTGAAATACATATCCGAGCTGGCACGATACACAAATGAAGTGACCACCACCGTCAAAGAAAATCCAACGGATGCTGAGAATCGAATTACGGCAGATCTGGCATTGCGCGGTCTGCAGCTGCTATCCGAGTGGACCAGCGTCGTCACCGAGCTCTACTCGTGGAAGCTGCTGCATCCCACTGATCATCATCAGAATAAAGATTGCCCCGTGGAGGCGGAGGAATATGAGCGTGCTACTCGCTACAATTACACATCCGAAGAGAAGTTTGCACTGATCGAGGTGATTGCCATGATCAAGGGACTGCAGGTACTAATGGCACGCATTGAAACAGTACTTTGCGAGGCAATTAGACGCAATATCTATGCGGAGTTGCAGGACTTTGTGCAGCTTACACTACGTGAACCTCTTCGCAAGGCAGTAAAAAACAAAAAGGATTTGATCCGGAGCATTATTATGTCGGTGCGTGAAACTTCCGCTGATTGGCAAAAAGGCTATGAGCCCACTGACGATCCAGTTTCCAAGGGCAAGAAGGATCCCGATGGTGGCTTTCGTATACATGTGCCCCGCTTAAATGTAGGGCCCTCCTCCACGCAACTGTACATGGTGCGCACAATGCTCGAATCCCTGATTGCTGACAAAAGCGGCGGAAAGCGTACTCTACGCAAAGATATTGATGGCAACTATTTAATGCAGATTGATACTTTTCATAAGACATCTTTTTATTGGAGTTACTTGCTAAATCTGAGCGATACACTGCAAAAGTGCTGCGACCTGTCCCAGTTGTGGTATCGCGAATTCTACCTGGAAATGACTATGGGCCGTAAAGTAAACAAGTGCATGGTGCGGCATCAACACAATGAAGAATGCAAAGATTTAATTACAATGGAGAAACGTATTCAGTTTCCTATTGAAATGTCCATGCCATGGATATTGACTGATCACATACTCCAAACTAAGGAGCCGTCTATGATGGAGTAAGTTTCTGTTAATTAAAACGCATAGTATTAATATAATTCTGTTTGATGCTTTAGGTTTGTGCTGTATCCGTTGGACTTGTACAACGACTCAGCACATTATGCTCTTACAGTTTTCCGCAAGCAATTCCTCTATGACGAGGTGGAGGCCGAAGTCAATTTGTGCTTTGATCAGTTTGTATATAAACTAAGTGAGCAAATATTTGCACACTACAAGCAATTGGCTGGGAGGTGAGTTCGATATATGTGCTTAGATGATGTGCACCCTTCCTCTCTCTTCCTGCCTCTTACTTTGTGATTTTATTTTCTTCTAGCATTTTCTTAGATAAACGTTTTCGGCTGGAGTGCGAAGTTTTAGGTTTCAATTTCCAATCATATCCACGCAACAATCGCTATGAAACACTACTAAAGCAAAGGCATGTGCAGCTCTTAGGTAATGAAAACAGTATTGCGGGCAAAACAAATTATTAACCCTTTTTGCCGCTTACCAGGTCGTTCCATTGATCTAAACAAACTAATTACACAACGTATCAATGCAAATATGCACAAGAGTATAGAATTGGCCATCAGTCGTTTCGAGGGCAATGACATAACTGGGATTGTGGTAAGCAACATCTGAGAGATGCACCACAAGAAAATCAATGACAAATTCAACATGTACTTATCAATTGTATTATTGAAGGAACTCGAGGGACTTTTGGAAGCCAACCGCATTTGTCACAAAATGCTAAGTAAATATTTGGCTTTAGATAATTTTGAAGGCATGGTCAAGGAGGCAAATCATAATGTCCTGGCTCCGTATGGTCGCATCACTTTACATGTTTTTGTCGAATTAAATTACGACTTTCTGGTTAATTACTGTTACAATGCAGCTACGAATCGGTAGGTTCTGTTCAACAACATTGTATCAGAGTTCAATAAGATTTCTGTTATTTCATTTACAGCTTTATTCGTACCAAGGTCAATTTATCGTCCTCGCAGGCCATACAGCGCGAGAAGCCGCCCCAGATGTCGCATTATTATCTATGGGGCTCAAAGCAGCTAAATGCAGCATATACCACACAGTACGGCCAGTATACGGGGTTTGTTGGCTCACCTCATTTCCATGCCATGTGTCGTCTCTTAGGCTACCAGGGCATCGCCGTAGTTATGGACATAATATTAAAGGACATTGTTAAGCCACTGATACAAGGCTCGTTGTTGCAATTCACTAAAACGCTGATGATTGCTATGCCCAAATCTTGCAAATTGCCCCGTTGCGAATATGGTTCGCCCGGTGTGCTCAGCTATTATCAGGCACATCTTACTGACATTGTGCAATATCCGGATACTAAAACAGAGTTATTTCAATCGTTTAGAGAGTTTGGCAACTGCATAATCTTTTGCCTCTTAATCGAGCAAGCTCTGTCACAGGAGGAGGTGTGCGATCTGCTCCATGCAGCACTCTTTCAAAACATCTTCCCGCGTCCCTTTTGCAAAGGTGCGCATTATTCTTACAATCTAAAATAATTTTTATATTCATATGTTTACCATATATTTTTATAGAGAACGAAAAGCCGGAGGCTAAGCAAAAACGTTTGGAGGCCCAGTTTGCCAATCTGCAAATTGTGTCCAATGTGGAGAAAATTGGCACTGCCAAGGTAAACATCTAGTATATAGATAAATTAATGTACTGATTCGTTCCTGTTTTAATATAATCAAAATCCGCAGCAAGCAATGATAGCACGTGAAGGAGATCTGCTGACACGCGAGCGCCTTTGCTGCGGCCTGAGCATATTTGAAGTAATTTTAAATCGAGTAAAAAGTTATTTGGATGATCCTGTATGGTGTGGCCCACCGCCTGCTAATGGCATCATCCATGTTGACGAATGCTCTGAGTTTCATCGTCTCTGGTCTGCACTGCAATTTGTCTATTGTATACCAGTGCGCGGCACCGAGTACACCATTGAGGAGCTTTTTGGCGAGGGTCTCAATTGGGCTGGTTGCGTCATGATTGTACTGCTTGGTCAGCAGCGACGTTTTGAAGCGCTCGACTTTTGTTATCACATATTACGTGTGCAACGCGTCGATGGCAAGGACGAGGATGTGAAGGGCATTGTAAGTGAGCAGTCCCCTAAACTGAGTTACAATTTAAAGTATTATCTTCCTAATGCAGCAATTGAAGAGAATGGTCGATCGCATAAGACGCTTTCAAGTATTAAACTCACAAATCTTTTCAATACTTAATAAATATCTGAAGGGAGGTGACGGTGAAGGCTCAAATGTGGAGCACGTGCGTTGTTTCCCGCCCCCACAGCATCCATCGGTCATATCCTCATCGTCTCACTATCAAGATCCACAAAAGCTACGCCAGAGCATGAATAATTAAGAATTATACAGTGCTTAAGCTAATCGTAGACTCATAACATTAATATATTTAATCATTATAACGCAATTAGCCACTCACACACAATATATTAAGGCTATTTAGACAGCAAGCTTGAGGATACATTCGATTTTATAACACATGTTTATTATTTTTATATATTTTTTTCTCCTAATATGTCTTTCATATGATGTATTTTGAATTAAGTAACTACCTATAGATTTCTAACTATAACAATTCCACACTATTCTTTAAACATTGTAATTCTAATTTGAGTACCATTTTCAAAACAATCAAAAATAGTTATTGTGCAAAATTGAAAATAGCCAAAGAATTGACAATTCGGCAATTAATTAAATTGGCTTTAGCAAAAAAAAAAAAAAGTTAAAGAAAAAAATTAAAACCGAAAGTGTATTAAATAAAAATAAATCAGATAATCAGTCAGCGGCATATAAATATAAATATATTCATTCACATACAAACCTTATACAATGAATTTTATCGAATAAAACTTGCATACGCATTTCTAACAAACTTTAGAAAGCATTGTTTTTTTTTTTTTTTTTTTTTTTTTTATTTTTTTATTAACATATTTGTAGCATAATAAGAGTTAAACAAAACTTTAACAGAGCATAAATAAATGATTTGGAGCAGTTTTCATCTATGATACAGTTTTGTGGTAAGCTCCACTTACGAATAGATACTCCGTTACGAAAGTACTTTAGCAAAACATACTAACTTTTGATCGGGACAGACGGAAAGACAGAAATACGTACATTGTACGCAACCAATTTATTCATTTAACTTCATGAATGATAATATAGACATTTATAGATTTACTGTTTATATGAAATTATTCGATTTGGAATACATCAGACACTAGATACGGTAATATTGTTTTATTTACTGATAATTCTTGGAATGACTGAAAAATACAGTTTTTATTTAGTTAACAGCCAGAAGCATTCGGTGTGACTCCATTTTTAATCGGAGTGCTATTTGGATGGACGTGTAACACGGCAAAGTTGTCAGCATAATTGCGGGGCAACTCGAATTTAGCACTGTCGGCGCCCAAGTAACAGGCGCCATAAGCACTGCTTTTTGTTATACGTACCAACTTCAGATTATAATCGATGCTTGTTATCGAGAGCTCATTGATGAAAGCCTCCTGCAGCAGATTCCAGCTGCTCCACACCGATCCGACACAGACAATATTCAGATTACCAGACTTGACCAGGTCCTTGTGCACCTTAGACAGTACCGCCTTGATCATACGGGCAAGATGGATAGCAGCCTCGTGGAAAAGCGATAGGGCCAGTTTGTCGCCGGCTTCGGCATTCCTCGCTAGCTTCTCGCACAGATTGGCAAAAAAGGGTTTATCGAATTTGGCATAGCAATAAGGTAGCAAATCGTAGCGTGTCTCTATGCTGAAATGTTCACGAATGAGCGCCCAGGTCTGATCGATGGGAAAAGGTGATTTGATTAGGTTGTCCATATGATCAAAGACCACCTTAGTTGCACGATATGATATAAACCAGGCTGAAAAACAACCGAAAACTCATCTGCAATTATATTGCTATCTATATTGCTATCAGCTGGCATTAATGGATTAATAAAGCTGATAATGATTTATGCATTTTTCATGTTAAGTGCACTCACCGCTGCCCTCGTCCCCCAGAAAATGTCCCCAACCGCCGCAATTGGCCGTGCTGCCATCCGGATTTCGCAGCAAGCAATTGGAGCCGGTTCCCGAGATAAGGACGATCCCACCAATGGAGGAAGCCGTGAACATACTTCCCATTGTGTCGCTTGAGACGGCATAGTTCTCTGCCAGAGTGGGGAAAGTACGTCGCAGCTCCAGTTCCAGCTCGCGATTGGTAGCTTCCTATTGTGTATAAACGGATTAACCTAACCAAGAGCTTCCACTTTTATTACAAATTACCTGTTCGCAGCCACTCAGGCTGAGACCCAGGCTTGCCAATGGCATGTCTCTTGGTATGTTACATTCATCCTTGCATCGTTCCACCATATCAGCGATGCGACGGGCACATGTCGGTATTCCGATGCCCCAATGATTTGTGCCCAGACCACTTGTCGTGCCCACTGAGGCACCGCTTTCATCACAGATGACCAAGTGGGAGTGCGTCGCTCCGCTGGAATATGCAAACAAAAAAGTATATACATATGTATGTATGTACATACATATGTACATATGTATATCTCCTATCTGTGTAAATGGTTTCATTATATTGTTCGACTATTCAGAGCTATTTAAGAATGCTTTTATCAATTGTTATTCAATCAAGGCAATTGAGTTAATTTAATTAATGATATTCTATACTTAGTGTAGTTTATTCAATTGTTCAAATTTCTGAAAGGTATGTACATATACATATACGCAATATAATAAATATTGATATGCTTAACTCAATTTAAGCGTCAGGCAAATAAACATTTTAAAATTGTACAGATACGGCGGTTGAAGAAAAGCCGTCATGATTACGAACTACCAAAAATATCTAAATATAAATATGATTAATAATATGAAAGCTTATGATGAAAATAATAATTGTCACAAATAGTATTAAATACTCAGCTATTTGTAATATTAATTCCAAAAAAAACTAATGCAAAACAAGTAAGAAAGCTCTAGTCGAAACTGCTCGAGTACGAGATCCCCTGATCCGTTCGAGCAACTGATATTTCAATAATAATTAGCACACGACTGCGCTTGGGCTAAGCTGCGGTGTTACTAATATTATAAGAATTTATTTGTTGAATAATTTATTTTCTAGACGTACGAGATCTTAAAGAAACTTTCAGAACGCAATCATAATGTTTAAATTTATGTATATACCGAAGCACAAGTCTCTAGTATTTGAAATACACTTGTTACAAATATAAGGGTGGGGGGTAAATTTTAACGAAAATCGAAATTGTATAAAACATATGTTTCAAATTTGGGGACTCTAGCTTTAAAGATGTAGTAGATATAATTTTATAAGTGATTTTCGAAAGGTTTTTTATTGATAACAAAATAACGGGTTGAGTATCGATTTTTAGTGATAAGCTCGATATGCGCGCTTTATATATATGTAAGTATCTTCATACATACATACATACATATATAGATATCTTAATGTATTCTCTAGATATACATACGTACATACAAATGTACATATGTACATAATTATATGTGTGATTATGTGCGCCTGTGGCTGCATTCATGTCTATTGCCGCAATTGCCGATATGGAGCAAGCTGGTTGCAAGATTGTTTGTCCGCTATTTAAGCCCAACTGAATTCAAATAAAAGTCAGATAAAATGCGGAAAAACTGTTTATGTGCCATTGTGTTATCTGCAATGTGAAATATTAGCTAAATTTGTATGAGTTGAAAGAAAATATATATTGTATATTGCTGTGTATTGGAGCTTGGCATTTCTGACGTCAAGACTCTCTTAGCTTAGTGGCAGCACTAAACTAAATGGTGCTGCCACATCGACAATTTATTCATATTGCACAATGAACATTTTTAATTGATAATTTAATAGACGACGAGACGTCGAAAAGTGCGTGCTAATTAAAAAAATTTAACGCAGCAAAAGAAGAATAGAAACGTAATTTTAATTGATATGAAACTTTTGAAAAATGTACAAAAACTGCTGTTGCTCAATTGCCGCAATAGCGTAAAGCAACGACATATGACAACAACAATAAAGGCGGCGCCTCATGATCAACCAGCAATAACCAGTGCACAGCTGGACGAGCTGGAACGGAATGTGCTCATGCGACATCACAAGAACAATGTACCATTCATTCGACAGCTTGTGGCAGACCTGCAGGTGAACAGAGGGCAAGCGGAGGAGGAAACACGCCAGAAATTGGCTGCTGAGCTGCAGCAACTACCGAACGCAACTCATCCGCGCCTGCTCACATACGACAATGAGGCGATGGAGTTGGCTAAGTTTGAGCATCGACTTCAGCCTGAGCGAGCCAAAGAATTCTCAGAATTGGCGCGTACACTTAACCTGTGCCGCATGGAGCATCTCGGCAATTACACGGGGCACAAAAGCTACTACCTGATGGGTCAGCTGGCCATGCTGGAGCAGGCTATCATACAGTACGCATTAAAATCACTCACTCAAAATAAATTTAATCTTATCTCCGTGCCTGACATATTGCCACGAGGGATTATCGAGAGCTGTGGCATGCGCACCGAAGGCGAACGCACACAGGTCTACAAGCTGGACATAGGAGACTGCCTATCGGGCACGTCCGAAATGGCCCTCGCTGGTTACTTTGCAAACCGACAGCTGACGGAACGCGAGTTGCCTTTAAAAGTAGCCGCCGTCAGTCGTTGCTATCGAGCAGAGACCTCAGGACTGCACGAGGAGAAGGGAATATACCGGGTGCATCAGTTTAACAAGGTAGAAATGTTTGCCATTGCAACGGCCGAGCAATCGGAGCCTACGCTCGAGGAGCTCAAGAACATTGAAATAGATTTGTTTAAGCAATTGGGAATTAACTTTCGACTGCTCGACATGCCGCCCTGTGAGCTGGGTGCGCCCGCATATCAGAAATATGATATAGAAGCATGGATGCCGGGACGCCAAATGTGGGGTGAAATATCAAGCTGCAGTAACTGCACAGACTACCAGGCGAAGCGCCTGAATATAACTTATAACCGCGCCTGTGATGGAGCTGTTGTGTACGCGCATACTCTCAATGGTACCGCCACGGCAATTCCACGGCTACTGATCGCTCTGATTGAGTCATATCAGAACGGAGATCACATACAGATACCAGATGTATTAGTGCCCTTTATGAATGAACAGCGAGCGATAACGAAGAATAAAAAAGTACCTGAGACTAAGCTAGTAAAGTTTATCAAAACAGCTTAGGCTCTGCATTTAAGAGATATGAAATGAATAAATAATATTACGAGTTTCCATATTGTGGTTGCATTCGTTTAAATGAGACACAGCCTTACATTAAATACATACGTATATAAAATACACAGACTGTAAGTAATATTTTAGCATTCATTGACTTTGCATATTTAAGTAGAGTTGTTAGGATTCCTATCTTATGCAAATATTTGTGCATTCAATGCACCTAAAAAATATATATGTATGTATAAAAAATTTATTAATATACGAGATTGCTTGCATTGATCCCCTTTATTAAGTAATTGTCGCGCATAAAAATGAAAAAAAAAAAAAACAATCTAGCTCATTGTCAAATAATTGCGCATTTCAAAGATCGATGAATCTAATACCATATATATAATACAATGTATATAATACAATACAATATATATATATATATATATATATATATATAGACTGAAGTTAACGTATTAAAAGCAACTACGAACGGCTTTACTTACCCTTCAATGCCGCCAAAATATCTCATTTTTATTGGTAATTTTGTAGTTTTGAACCGTGTATAAAACCTGTAATTAAATGAAAAACACCCATCATACACAATCTTATCGAGATTTTAATCACTCTAGTTATTAAAATTTGCTAATCTAAGCATAAAAATAAAAACGAAATTCGAGTTGCATGCATGAGTTTAAAGAATGCACAGCAGTTTTGCCAATTCCGATTGGAAACAAAACAATTACTGCGGCTACAGCACAAAGCAGTTCAGCAGGTGAGAGTGAAAGCAAGAAAAAACAAAAAAAAACAACAAACCAGTTTTTTTTTTTAATAAATTACAGTCACTTCTTAGCAGTTTGTAAACCTAGTCGGTTTCTTGCCTTATTTAAATAGAAATGAAATTATTGCAGTCATCCCATGGCCTTTACTCAAAAGCCGTTAGTATTTACTATTTGCACACGCTGATATGTACATATGTGTATATTGCACACGCGAATAGTCAGTATGTTAGTCAGTAATTCGCGCACTTAATGTCAGTTGTATTCTCACCCACCAATGGAGCTGCTCACGTCCATGCACTTTGAAACCCACGCACCAAATATTGTTTTCAGACACTTGTATTGTTATTTGAAGATTGTCGTCCGCCACAGTAAACAGATGTTGTAACAGCAATAGTGCTGCAAAACGTCAAATTAAAGTAACAGAAAACGGTTTAACCTTAAGGTGCGCCGACCCACTTTGACTATTATCACCAACCATACAAAATGTTATATGGTTACTCCACTCCACATTTACTCCACTTAAAAAAATATATATATCCAAGACTTTTTAATATTCGATTTTTTTTTATTTATGGTCAAAGTGCTCGCCAGTTTTGAATTTCAATGAATTTAATCAGCTTTAACGCACCATTTAAATAATATAAAATTGAAATTTTATTTTTTGTTCTTGTCTTTGTCGTTATCCTTGATTGTATATTTGTCATACGACTTGGTGGGATCATATGGCTCCCAGCGGCTGGCCGGAAATATGTGCTTGTTGCGCTCATACCACGAACGCAACAGCACTTTGCCCGCATGTGATTCCTCTTTCTCGACGGAAGCGTCGCTAATCATACGAACATCGTCGTGCACATCGAACTGGAATAGTGGACCAGATTTGCCGCGAGCCTTAGTAACAATGAAGTCATAAAAAGAGTAGTGATGCGGCAATATCAAATCCTCCTTCACATACATTAGCTGATCGGCCATCACAGTCTTCAGTTCGATGAACTCTTTGCGAAGTAGCTCCAGGCATTTCTGAAGGAACTGATATATGGAATTACCCTTTTTCATCAGCACATTTCGTCTGTGCCCGGAGCCATCCCAGTAGCTAAACGTAATGGAGATATCCTCGTCTTTGAGTTCCGCCTGCTGCATAACCCATTCTTGTCGTAACTGTTCCCGTAAGCGATTCTCCTGTTCCTCACGCTCGCGGTCCGGCAGAAAGGACGTATCAACATCCGGATTCTTACAAATTTTCTTTCTTTTTATTGGTACCAGCACATCTATCTGGTCGGTCCACTTGGCTGGCGTGGGCTTAACAAACTTTTCCTCTGTCGATGCATCGTCTTCGTCTTTTTCCTCTTCTTCATCATCTAGATTGAAGGATAACGCTTGTATTTGACGCTTCTGTTTGTTCTTCTCTGCTTGTATAGCTTCTAATGCACGCTGCTTCTCTCGATCCTTTTCATCCTTTTTTTGCGCCAATTTCTTTTCTCTCTCTCGCACTATGTCTTCTTGCTTAGCCTTCATCTCATCGAGAGTGACCAGGCCAATGGTCGACGACTTGAGCTGTTGCTCAACAGCATCGTAGTGAGTCGCAAACTTGTTCTCAATCTTATCCAGCTTCAGCTCCTCCTCGATTTTTTTTTTCCTGAACTCGATCTCTTGCTGCTGGATCTCACGCTTTTTCATCAGTTGAGCAGCGCGCCCAGCCTCACTGGCGGCACCCTTGTAGTGGGCCATGAATTATTATTGAAACTCCTTTATTTGAATAAAATACAACAATAATTTATATCAATATTTATTTTCGCTTAATGACAGCCGTTCCACTCCTTCACTCGTTAAGAGTGCCAGCTGTTATTGAACAGTGGTTCAATTTTTATTCAGCTGCCGGAACTACTTAGCTCGTGAGTGAAATTGAGTGTCATAGCGACTACCTTTTGTGGGGCAGAAATGTTGGCGCACTTGATTGAAACTCAAGTATGTGCGAGCTTTAACGTCCTTTTAAAGTCCTTTACAAAGCTTTTGCGAGCTGGCTAACATAAATACATTCGGCAGATGCCGTTAACTGCTTCAGTTACAGCGGAACTTTCAAACCTATTGGACGCGCTCGGCAAAAAGTAAATCAGCGCAATCAGCTGATTGCTGATTGATATTTTTGAAATCGAATTATATTATTTAATTCGCATTAAGTGGATTGTGATGTTTTCTAGGACTCCAATTATGAATTTATTGATTGTTAAATGATGTAAATACCAAAGGCGTGTCTAAACTGTAGAAATGTGAGGTTTTTTCTTGTCTCTGTGTGAATGTATTTATGTGTGCGTTCGTGTTGTAAATGAAGAAGTGCTCTGCGTTGAGCAAGGACATTACGGACAAAGAGTAATACCAGCAAGTGACGTGTGGTGGGCGGGGCGTGGCGAGTGGCGGGGATACAGTGTAGGGCGGAAACGGAAGTTCCCAAATTGAAATGGGATTTAAGATGAGCGAACCATTAAAAAGATTCCACTTACAGTTTGTTTTGGCCATCGAATTTCTATCTTGGTGTCGTTGCTGCCGAGTAACTTAATGTGGCTACTTTTTAGAGGTATAGACTATATTCATGAGCCGAAGTCATAAATGTTTTCGATGTCGATGTCAAGTGCTAATAAAATCATTAACTGTTGCAACACATTAAATTCATAGCCCAGACTCAAGTCGTCATTCAGGCAGCAAACATTGTCGTAAAGACTATTCGGCAGTCAGTCAGCTGACCAATATCCGAGGGCGTAACATGAGGTCGTGTGCGTGCTGCAGCTAATTGCCAGTGTGTGGGAGCATGCGAAAAACTATTAAAGGACCGTTCGAGCTGAAATCGTGTGAAGTAATTAATGGCGACAATAACTTTATCGAGCATTAATTAATTTATCGCACATAAAACTGGAACACCGGGCACAATATCCATTAAGATACATATATGTACATACATATATGGATGTATTCCCGATCAATGCAAACGGAAAGCGGCTATACTTGAGAGTTGGCGAAGCTTAAGCAAGGCCAAAATAAAATTAAACAGTTACAATTCAATTTAAACCGACAAATATCAAATACTCTTAACCATGCATTAAAACAATTAATTATGCATAATAAGAGTTGATTAGTTGATCCTGTAACACAACTAAAATCAACTTTCAAGTTTCCCCTGATTCCTGGGTGAAGTTAATTTTTCAGCTATTATTGCATCTTCGACTTAAGTTTCCCTGTGGAGCTTCAAAAGCCATCTTTCTTTTTCTTTCTCGTCCTCTCATTGATTTTTTTCCCTATATACTCCATATCGAAAAGCTTTATCAGGTCTCTGGACGAAGTATTAAAACATTGCACAAGTGCCGTAGGATAAAACATTGCAGAAGTTTAGTTGTCAACTCTTACCGGATTCAGCTTCATGTTTTCGCTCAGAATGTATGAGTGAATACTTATGAATTACAGACTTTTCAACCAATGTCTCACAAATTTCTGAACGGCGGCTTGTAAAACTAAGAATCCGTACTTTTTTCAACTATAAAGTTGAGACTTTCTTTCCTCTGAGCGTTGAACTCTAAATTTCCTCTGAACTGAACTGTAATTTGAAGTGTACAAATTGGTGGTTGCTTATAGCACAAATTTCGTAGCTCATTGTTCAATGAAGCCGAAATATATATAATGGGAAACCATTGATTTTTAATTAATACACAATTAATTACAATATTCTACTTTTAGTTGCATAACAAGGTATCGAATTTTTGGAGTAGTATAAAAATCGAAATAATATAATATGAACGTATTTTGTCACATAAGTAATTTTAAATATCTTTTAATTCTGTTACATGAGTTATTTTTAAATATTCTCTTATATTATCATTATGTTATATCAATTTTATATAAGTAAGGATATTCAAGAAATCCTCATCTAACTTTTCTAACGCAAACTTTTAATAAATTATAATTAATAAATTGGTAATTAATTGATTTAGCACTTTTATTTTATGACCATAATATCATCTACATACGTAATAATCCGCAGCACTTTTCATTCAATTTTGTTTACGATTTCAATGTAAATGTGCATTTTATATGTTTTCGGGTTTTTTTGTAATTTAGGCTCAGTCTTCTTACTTGTTTCACTTTTGTTTGGACCAGAAAACTTTTTGTATGTTGAGGTTGAACAAAAAAAAAAAAGGTAACTTTTTTTAAATCAAAGTAAATAAAAAATATACAAAAAATATATATAAGCAGCTAATTGTTTTTTGTTTTCTTGGTTTGAGGTAAGGAAGTGGTCAAAAAGGAACCCTGTTTCCCCTTATTTTTTGCGCTGGCGCATTTGAGTTTTCCCACACATTGCGTACACTTTCAACAATTCGCCGTCGGCACCCATATCCGCTTTAAAACTCTCACACATACATTCTCTTACGCCGACACCCGTGTGCATTCAGCACAAGGATTTATGCAGAATTTTCATAAAGCTGACAACTTGACAAATGATTAATTTGTTGTAGCTCCCTAAAATTGGCATAGCTAGCTGAGCAGCTCCTCTTTCAATAATTTATGCATTTATTTGGTATTCCCCATAGCGCTGAAAAAACGCAAAGCGGGTCCATTGGAGCCTCCACGCATTTTGTTATATTTTTAGCAGCGCTTTTTGTAATCAATTTTCCTCAAGTGAACAATAATATGTACCACAACATTGAACATGTGATGTGCAACTAAAAATATGTTATGTGTCAGTTTCTGCCTTTTAAATTGTGTTATGGAAACAAGTACAATAACAACAACGCCAACAGACAGAATGGTTCAA